GATCTAGAAAAAACAACAGCAAGCCCCACTTTCTATTTAATAATCTAGAAAAGTTTCTATAAAACCTTAATTTAATCTCAAAGTAATTTTTCCAGTGATTGCTTTGCAATCTTCCAGCCAGCCTATAATAAATAAGCTCTGGTAATTCTCAGTTGGTAAAATTGAAGGTGAACTACAACTTAAAAATATAAATATCTATAAAAATATAAATATGTATAAAATCAGAAACAGTTCTTGCCCAGGGAACTTGTAGTGTCTGCATTATGTGTTAAATAACTTATGATTAGTGCTGATGGTTTCAATAGTGCACTGAATGAAAATTAAAAATACATTTACAATATTGGATGGAATAGTTTAACCTAATTTTCCTTCGACTGAACCTCCAAGGGCTCTCTTGTGCCCCTAGGTAAAACAACAAATCCTACAATAATTCAAGAGAATTTTGTTGATGTTGATATCTGACCTAGAGCTCTATGTTTTCTTTGCAGAGCCTCGTCTCATTTATACATGAAAGAATCTGGAATATTTTCCAGTAGAGTCAAAGGAGTTATTGCAGAATTAGGAGGATTTAAAAAAAATCTGTTTGTAAATTAGACTTTTTTTTAGCTTACTGGAGAAGTAAAGGCTGAAATTCTTTTTGAATGTGTATCTCTGAACACAATTACAATATAACCATTTACCTATCCTTAGGGTAATATTTTTTAAATAATTCCAAACCTTTTTTAAATGGTGGAATGATAATTACACCATGATGGAAGATGAACTGAGTGCTCAAACAATTTCCTGCACCCAAGTTAGAAATTTTCCCTGAAAGTTTCAACCCTTAAATTCAATATCACGCAATTTTTACATAACTTTTAGAAAATCTCATCAAACAATATAATGAGATTAATCCATAAGCAGCAAGACTACGAGTTCTGATGTAAATGGGAATTAATTAATTTGATTATACATGTAAAGATAGAGGTTTTATACAGTTAACAATTGTATTTATATGATAATTAAATATGTATTTAATTAAATACCCCAAAAAGTAAACATTAAAGAGACTTCCTAACATCTGTTGTTGCAATTCTCCCAAATGACATCACTGCAATATTTCTGTATGTAGCAGATGTCGAAAGGATTCAGCATCCAAAAATTCAGCAGGGCTGGGATGAGAAAGCTGTCAATGGCATATAGTACATGGGTCCTGATGACTTACAGTTTAGTGTGGGCAGATCAATTTTATATGTGCTATCCAAGGTGTGAGGGAGGATTTAAGCAATCCTACGTGAAGGATAGAACCACACGAAAGTAGGATGAGAGAATTTGGGTTTGGTTTTGGTTTTCCCCCGAGAGGAAAATATTCTGCATCCATTTTGGCACCAGATTTATCATTTCAACTTGTTCAATAGCATTTTAGGAAAACAGCTTTGCAAAGCAGGAGCCCCTGATAAGCAGGTTAAAAGCTGGAAGCATTAGGATCAGCCAGTGTTTCTATAGGACTAGACTCCTCTTTGGTTAATACGTTAAATCATTGGCTTACAAGTGATGAAACATTTAGGATAAGTCAGTTCTTGTTGCTCTGACTGGATGAAAGGTGATTTATGGCCTTTATGACAAACTTTAAGTCTCCTTTCTATACTCACAGGTGCATAAACCTATTTTTCCTGCCCAGTACGTAAACCACAGGACCACTGCTCTGCTACGCCTCGGAGATTCATCTGCAACAGGGGATGCACAAGTCTGGCAGGAACTGCTAAAGCTCATCTTAAAAAGAGCAATTCATGGACAAAACACATTGTCCTACATTGTGTGAATGAAAAACAAGTGCTTTGAGCTCTGTCTAAAGAAAAGGCTCCACTCCTGCAGCGACTGAGATGGTTGTAAAGGCAGACTGGGCTCTCTTGAGCTCGCACTGAAAGCCACGTGGCCAGCCCAAAAACGAGACTAACTGACGATGACAACAGAATAAAAATAACAAGATATCCTAACCATCACCCCAACCACAGAACTTTAAGAAGATCGGGGGACAAACTCCTGTGCCCTATTTCTTCAGTAAAAGGATAGCACGAAGCCATCTAATGGTCCTCTGTGTTTTAGAGCAATCTTCAATTTGAGAGCCTCAGGATATTTAGCTTTTCCCTGTGCAAGGTGGGTATTACCAACTAAATAACTTGCCCAGCGCTCTGCATGAGATCGAAGGCAAAATTAGGAAGAGTTTCTTGTTGCCTGGCTATAACTGTGCTGGGTGTTTTTCTTTATGGTTTTGCTCATCATCACTTGTGTAGCTCCTTCCCCTACTATCAACCATCTCATTATATGTCCTGGACCTGTCTGCCCAGGTGAGAATGCAACACCTTTCCAAAACACTGAGCTTTGTTTATCTTAAAAAAATGACCAAGTTAGTGAGGCTGGGGTGAATGAATCACAACACTGACATGTTAAAAAGGGACGCCAGAGCACGCCAGCCCAGATCTGCCGTGTGGAGGTTAAGCAGCAAAGGTGCAAAGCAGACAGTCAACTTGAAGTCAAAGAGAAGGATCTTCTTTGGGTTACGTTTTCTTTTTTTTTTTTAATGTCTGAAATACTTCCAATATCCACAGAAAAAGGAATTTTTAAAGCAACTCTCCATTGACTTCAGTGCAGCAACCTGATGCAGCTGAAGGCAGAACTCAGAGCTTCAGGCTTGCAGCCCAAGCTGCGACTACTCGCAAGGGGATCCCTTAGTCCAGTGGTTTCCATCTATTTTGGATACGGTCCTTCCAACGGATCAGCAAATCCCCATTGTCTGAATTTAAACCTAATGACAAGAAGTTTGGTTTTGAGACCCATGGAGGTGGACTATGGACCATCACTGACTGCGGGTCAGGGCTTGTAAACCACTGTACTAATGGTATCCCAAATTGTGATGGTAGGTTTGGTTCAGTATAATAAACAGTACAGAAAGGCAGGAGGAAAAAAAAATGAAATAATTGCAACTAAAGCCCCTTGGGTGCCTCAGGAGACTCTGACAATAGTCATTTCGCAGAACCAACGATAAATCAGGTCAAACTTAGACCCACCATGCAGGTGAGCTAGGAAAAGAGACGCAGTATCTATGTTCTGTTGTAATAGTACCACACAGCGGTAACGTTGTCCTCTTGGTGAAGTTACAAATAATCCCATTTTCACAAATATAAAGGATTGTAAGGATGGAAAGACAAAGCCTTCATGAGATCCATCCGTCCTCCAGTTCTTTGCCAGGTGAACCTGATTTTTGCATAGGTTGGAACCAAGGCTGGTTATTGATTCTCAAGAAAGCAACAAATTCCCTCCACGGTCAAGTGCATTATGCCAAATGCATCCCTGATGCGATTCTGCTCAGAACAATCCTCTTGCTCCATGGATGAGCCTGCTAAAGAGCTCCACTGGCCTGAAGCAGCTCTCCCTCTGTTTCTATCTGGAGGTGACTCGGGGATCTATTTCCTTCCCTATTACCAAGTCCAAGCAGTTACATATCATGGACCAAAACCTATTTCAGAACATTTCTGAAGCTTCCACGCAAACTCCAATTATATTTCTTCAACCAAGCTAATGAAATTTTTAAATTTTTTTCACTGCAGAAAAAACAGCACGTGAGTACTTTGGGGCTGAACATATACATTTGCAACCCCAAGAGCTGAACAATGCTCCTAAGACTGTTTTACAACCTCTGTTGGTTTTTATAACACCTTCTGCCTTGGTACAAGGGAACTTCATCAAGATATGCCACTCTAGCAGTGATTTGTGTTCTTCTACAACCTGCATACAATTTATTTTTTTATCTCTCTAGGGCATAGCAAGGACAAAACATTCAAGGTTTATCATGCTGAAACAATTATAGCGTTGCTATACCACTAACACCATTCTCCCTGTAATGCTTTTGAATGATTTGATGGTATTCTGGGAGAGGACTACGAGGAAAGCAAGCATAAAACCAAGACAAGAGCACATAGATCAGGATACTAATCTTAACAGCCTGTTGTGTCTGAATATTCTCAATGTAATAACACAACATTCGTGTCTACAGAGGGCGGACCCAAAGGCCCATCCAGAGCAGAACCCTGCCTCAGACAGGGCCAACAGCAGAGGCATGTGGAAAATGATGAAAAAAATATGAGTACAGTACCATTTTCCCTGAATGTTTTTCCAGAATCCAGTCATCTGAGTTATTCTCCAATCATCCTTGAGTCAGAATGCCTTCCTATTTGATGGCTCTTAGTGAATGTTGACAAAAAACCATCAAAAGCACGCCTGAATCCCTATTATTATCACAAGACAATGTGAAAACAACACTGAAGATGAGGAAAGAAGGTCCTACCAGATATTGGCAAACCTCTGGCTTTTGTTGGCCATGTCTCCACTAACCACATCTGGGACAGCTCTCTGACACCAAGGTTCTCTGGCATGGAGTGGCCCGTGCCTATTCCAGTCCTCTCTCTTAGCCTCCAGAACAGTAAGCCATCTATTATCTATTACAGGCCAAGGTTGGATGAGGGTTTGAGCAACCTAGTCTACTGCAAGGTGTCTCTGCCCATGGTAGGGGGGTGGAACTGGATGATCTTGAAGGTCCCTTCCAGCCCAAACTGTTCTATGATTCTGTAGGTGGTCCCCTGGCTGTGTCACCTCCTGACCCGCTGCTGGGAGCTGTTTGAGAGAGGCAGCGCCGTCTGGCCCATGCTCAGCCAGCCAAGGACATGTCCAAGATGTATAAAGAACCCATTCCCTATCCCAGGAAACGTTCCTCACACAGATGCAGCCACCGATTGAAACTCAGTGGTGATGGGTGTACAGCCTGTCTAACACACTGCTTGTGGAACTCCCTTTGATAAGAAGGTAACTTGAAGAAATCACATCCTAAAGGTGTTAAGAAAGAGATGTGGTTTTGGATGGGTATCAACTCAGTCCATATCACCCTACCAATTCGGGTGAAACATGAGGAACAAAAGGACTGGACTCTCTGACTGTGTGGTGTGTGATACCTGAACAGTCCTAGATCATGAGGGAGCTAACATTACTCAGGATGTCCATCTGCCAGTTCTGCTCTCTCAGTCATTCGCGCTGGTCTTCAGTGGTATTTCAGCAACAATCACAACATGCCTGCAGCTGTACTTACTGGCCCCCAGGTTGGTTTTTTTTTTTTAGCAATACATAACTCATGATCTGCCAAGGCTGACACACGTGTTCAAGTATTCCAACAGGAATAGGAACATTTTTCTTGCACTAGTGGTGGTGTGACATTTGCTCCTCCTTTTTCATATAATGCATTTAGGAGCATTATATGATGTTGATTTGCCAGGTTTGGAAATCAACAGATAGTGATGGGTATAGAGCTGAGCTGCAGTATACCCATGCACATCTTGGTAGACATACAGATACATGTACACCAACAATCAACATGGATAAGATGGCAAATAGATTTGATTCCTCAATGAAATGGTTTTTAGAGTAATTCACTGACATACTTACGGAGCTGGTCAAGGATCATACCTTCTATGGTGATGGCTTGGTCTCCTCTCCTCTCCTGGGTCAGGGCTGCAGCACTGTGATGGTAAAGTTCTGCTCCACTTTTTGCAGACCCTAATCTGTTCACCAGCTAAAGAGAATCATGCAGTACCAAATGAAAGGCAGGATGTTGTACAACAAAATCTTCCTATACTACATTATAAATTCATTGCAATTACACGACAACAGAAATGGGTGAAGATGTGACGCCAAACCTAAGCTAGAGTTTGTATGAACACATTGCTGCTCAGTGGACTTCATATAATGCTTTACCACAAAGGTCTTGGACAGACAAGTTACAGCACATCACCTAACTCAGAGTTATTTGCAGATTTCTCTGCAGCCTTTGACTTGGTCCTGGGTTAGGTCTGTCTCTACCAACAGACATAGATTCCTGCCATGTGCCATTTAAGTGGGCATTAAGGAGGGATTTTTTGTTTATTATCCATTAATCCACTGAGTCTTGCTCAGCCAAGGGAATACTGGATTTTAGCTAATGGCAAATGCAAGGTAATGTGATTTTGCAAAAATTCTAGTAGGAGCTTTTAAATTATATTGAGCTTCCTAAAAATTTCTGTGGAATAACCGTGACGTTGCTGGCAGTTGATCCACTTACCATTGGTCAGTTGACCCATGTTAATTTCCTAAATCAAGGTCAACTGTTTTTATTGCTGAGAGAACTCATTACTACTTTATTACAATGAGTGCATGGACTATGACTCATTTTTAGAAAATATTTTACAGCACATTTATTTTAATTTGTTAGATACTTCCATGCATGCTTGCCAAATAAACAGGAATTTCTGTTTAGACTCAATTTCTCTTTTTTTTTTTTTTTTGGCTTTGGAAGTTTTTTTTGCAGTGGCATGAATCTCTTCTAATTTAAAGACATTCCAGAAACACAATGTCAGATCAAAATGGTCCTAACCTTTCTAAGGGATACCTCTAGAGACCTGGATCTTGAATTTAACCTCCAGAACAAGCTCACTCTATTATTTCAATGACCAAACTCTCAGATCAGAATATTCTGAAGCTTTTGGATGTTCACAATCCAGATCTAGTTCAGGAGAACCTGACTTGTACAAACCTTTTTGGTATGGCAGGTGGCAGCAATTATTCAGCCACTATTCTCATGCAATGGATCTCTCCCAGTAAAATGAATTCTCCTATCTACATCACGTCAGACAACAGATCTTTTAATCTCTCTGAACTTACCTCACATTCATAGTGTCCCATATCTTCATTGGAAGGGTTCTTAACCACTAGGACTATTATGCCACTCCGTGGTTCACTGAAAGTCTGGTATTTACTGGTGTCCTTCAACAGTACACCGTCTTTGTACCATCTGCATGTGGAAAACACTGAGTATAAGTCAGGAAAAAAATATGCAGTGGCAAGAAGTCCCCAGCTCACTGACCCATCTATCAGAGCAGTGGGCAAACAGCTCAAGAGTTAATCATTAGACAAAAGTTTGGATCTGGGAAAATAAGTCTACAGGTGGGTAGATCACACGTGGGTACTGAATTGCACAGGTTTATGAGGTTTTTCTCAAAAAAATCTCATCAGTCAATGCAAGGAAAAGTGCTTCTAATCCTGAGAAGTTTTGCTGAGCTTTTTGTCTGAATACCTCAGACTGGTTGCTGACAAAATCAATGCAAGTGTAGGGCAGGGAAGATAAAGGAATGATAAAATGTGTCAGGGTATTAGATCCCGATACATGTCACGGATTATCCGTAAGTATTTCTTTGCAGATGCTAGCTAGAACAAACTGCTGGGGATCTCAAGAATGTTGGGATCAGGGAGAGCTGGCACTGGCATGGGGTTAAGGTGGAAGGCACAGAGAAGGAAGGGTCAAAACCTTGCAAGAAAGGGCAGGAGACTCTTCTGACCATGCAAAATGGGAACAGAGGATTTGCTCTGGTGTGACTTGAAGAACTGACCTGATTTGAGGTCTAGGTGCTCCTTCGATGGTACAGGTAAACTGAGCATCTTCACCCTCCACAAAATAAGCATTTCTAACCTTGTTCACAAACCGTGGCGGCACTGCAAAAGAAGGATGAATGTAGTTAGTAGCTGGAAATATGACCAGATACAAAGGATGTGTCCCTGGCCAGATAATTCTCATGATGTCTGCACACAAGACACTAAAGACCAAATATTTTGCCCTAAGAATAACTGACTACACCTGAACATCAAATAATTTTTTTAAAGTATTATCCAGTAGATGTTATACAGAACTTGTGGAACATCTTAATATTAATATTTAATACATTACATAGCAAACTTCTTTAAAACAATGCATCTGTGCAGAGCTTTACCTTGAACAAGGATCTTTCCCAAGGTACTGACATTTCCAGCAGGACTGGAAGCAAAGCACATGTACTGTCCTGAGTCAACGCCTGTGAGGTTGTCCAAGATCAATGTGCAGGAACCATCAGGATCTTCTATTATAATGTGATGGGGATCCACCTCTACAGGCTTCCCATCTTAAAGACAAAGGAAAAAAAAATTAAAAATAGTTTTGTATGAATTATGTTTTCTCCTTGGAAATTTTATCCATCTTTCCAGCTTGAGAGGGCTGAGAGCTGTATTTGCTTTATTACAGATGGTGTTAGTAGTTGGGGAATGAGCTCTTCATCTTCATCCAGCTCTCTACAAAACATCTTCTGGGCAAAGCACTGTTGAGGGACCTTATACATCATCCATCCTCATTTAAAAGTGAAATTCTCCCAGGGGATGTGCTGTGCAGTTATAGCTCTGATTTGCTAGCCAAAGGAACACCTCCAAAGTGGCTGTAAGCATGCAGAACAGATCTTTACAAGGCGTGAGCTTATAGCAAAGCTGTTTCTTCTGCAATGCAGTTGTGCTGGGGAAAAGAGGATGCCCACACAGCTGCCTGTCCTATGACACGGAAACATCTAAACTAGTTCTAACAAGTTGTTCATTTCCTAGAAGTTGTCTAACTGCCACAACTTCCAGATTCGTATGGTCTAATAGACAAACCTGGAAAAGCAGGGCATGTTAGTGCACAGCAAGATCTACATTACTTGGGTTGTTTGGTAGCCAACTTTAAGACTGGACTTGGGTATCTCTAGGTGGTCAGTTTTTAGTTTACCCTCTAACCAATTAGCACAAAACAATACTTCCCAAAGAAGCTGTGGATGCCCCATCCCTGGAGGGGTTCAAGGCCAGGCTGGATGAGGCTTTGAGCAACCTGGGCTAGTGGGAGGTGTCCCTGCCCATGGCAGGGGGGTGGAACTGGATGGGCTTTAAGGTCCCTTTCAACCAAAACCGTTCTATGAATACAGATGGAGAACAAATTTGGAGGATGTATTTCATGACTTGCTGCTCGTACCTTTGAACCAGCTGATGGATGGCTTGGGAGCTCCTGTGACTTTGCAAGCCAGCTTGACTGTCTCTCCCAGCTCAGCTGTACAGTCCGCCAGTTCTTCCTCAAAGTCTGGAGGTACTGAAACATCAGAATAAGCATGTTAGTCTGGAGGAGGGGGGCTCTGTCCATAGGATGGCTGCTGCAAAGTAAGATATTCTTATCTGTATAATTTTTGCAAATCTGTGGGGTTCAGAATGGAAAGCTGCACAGGAGATTTTAGCAACTAATGACTTTTCCAGGTGACATGCTGTCCTTCACAGAATCACAGAATCACAGA